TTTTAAACAAAATCCCAATCAATGTTGTCATCGTCGAATTCGACAAAATCGCCATAAGCCTTCCACATGGTAATGTTGTGATCCGTGTGCTGGTAATGACGCATGCGCAATGACCCAAATCGCTAAGGATAATGGTAACTTCCAGTGGGTTAATGATATGCACGACTACATTAATGGGAGTTTATTTTCGGGATAACTTGGCGTAAGGTGTCAACGATTTATTTGCTCGTTACAAGGGTTAGTACAATAGAATACGAAGCGTTTCCAGACCGGTGATAGAGGGACTGTGGAAAAACACAGTGAAACTTTGAAAAATCAAAAAAATAACTTGATGTGCATAATAGCACCATCAATTCCTGTCTCTGTACCAACTCTGAACTGAATAGGATCACACATGTGTGAGAAAAAGCTGGTAACATGAAAATGTGCACACACGGATGCACAGACACGACCCAAATAAATACCCCCCCGCCCGGATTGCAGATCCGGCGGGGGCTAATTAGACGCATAAAATCCTTAGGAAAGAATTTTTATCTTACAAAAAGAAATTTAAAAACTATAAACTAAAAAAAAATCATGTTTTGTATAAAATTTATGGAGTTGAATGTAAAATATAGGGGGAAAGGTTTATTCACTGTATTTTATTTTCACTGAATCATTTCATTTAATTCTAAGCGAAACTAAAGTACTTCACAGTATTCAGCATTAGGCTGAGAAAAGAACTATTATATAATAAAAAAATGTTTCTAGTTCTAGCGCCTCAGACGTTCTTTTCCTTCTAAAGCATTCCAAAATGCGCTTGTACTCGCTTGTCTCAGATTTCTTTCATTTTAGCTCAGTATTCAAAAAAAAAATCGCCTCACCGCCTCATTTTAAAATTTCCATGAAATGAGAAACAGAGAATTTTTTCTCCTGGTCTTAGATTTCTCCATTAGCCGAATTAGCATATATCATGGAGCTACTAGTACATGTAAATAGCTTCATGCAATTACTAACTGAAATCTGAAAATGGCTAATGTGATAAAATAGCTAAAGATAACTTAATGTGGCAAATAACATAACATTCTAGTCACCACAGTGGCTAATGATTATCATGACCTAGGGCTAACAGTGTTATTTAATGTGTCATCGATTCAACTGTAACCGAGACAAGCTCAGAGCTAGACTGGCGCAGTCGGGGCGATTAGTTTGTTTTTGTGGTTTAAATAAAATAAAACATTTTGCGAAATGGAGGCATTAGCGCGAAATCCCCTGTAACTGCAAAATCACCACTGCAGGAACCCGTCGATTTTTCAACGGGTAATTATGTTATGTATATATAATTATGTTATGTGTTCTAATTGACAATCATCTAAGCCAATCACAACGTCTCTTCAACTGACCTCTGACTGAGATGACGTTGGCTGATTGTAGCAGCAGATTTTTTTTTAATTATACGACTAGTACGAGTTACTTTTTAAGTCTATTTACTACGACTACGACAAACTCGAATTTCAACTTGCCGCCATGTTGGGTCTGCAGTGTGACCTTCACCATGTTGACCTCATTGCACGTATTTCTGCACCAAACCTCATTATAATATGTGTATTAATGAATATTTAATAGCAATGAATTTCCTGCAGAATAAACCAGTCGGGGTAATTTCGTGCTAACACCTCCATTTCGTGAAATTTTTTATTTTATTTAAACAAAAACAAAAATTAATCGCCCCGACTGTGCCAGTCTAGCTCAGAGCCTACAAATCGCTTCAAATTATGTTGCTATGAGCATATGATTGACCTGCAGTACACAGCGGTTTCTGAAACAAGTTTACTTGGTTTTGGTGACAACTTATCTTAGCGATTCAAATATATAGCAGTAAACACCTCTCGCAGTCGCCCGTATTGAGTCTGGATGCAACTTTGTAGAACCTTTTCCTTCCACAAAGTGCAGGAAACAAACGTACTTGTTCTGGGTGATTCAGTTCACCATTCATATAATATTTGTGCTGAATGAGAGAATCACTCTTACATATATCGTAAAGCGCACCGTTTAACTCCCATTGTTTCGTGATGAGGTTTGAAACATGCAGGGCAATGCGGTTGCCACCATATTGAACTAAAGCTTGACCTATGTCATGTGACTCCTCAATTGGTTGCTAAGGTGAGTGAATCATGGTCATGCATGATGTCACAGCTTGCAGAAAATGGCTTATTGTAGCATGATATTATCTATTTGTTCATTGAGTCACATTCTCACCTTACAATGGTTTTGTCGGACACCCAATGGAAGTAGCTTATATGGAAGATGTGACTTTATGAGTCACATTCTCACCTTACAATGGTTTTGTCGGACACCCAATGGAAGTAGCTTATATGGAAGATGTGACTTTATGAGTCGTGGCGACTTCATGGCATGTAATGCTTCCAATCCAGGACTTGGATATTCCAGATACGGAACGGAGTCTTCTACTGTTTCAAGATCTAAGTCAACTTCTTCTAATTTACCTCCTTTGCTTATTAAATAAACGAGATCCTGGGCCCATAAACCTGAATATAAAATATACAAGAATATCATGTTGAGGGCTCTCTATTTTTTTGACATCAAAGTGAAGTATCTGAGTGGTTTGTATAGAGGGCGCTTTATTTCTTGACATAAAAGAAGTGTCAAAGTTGTTGTGTTGAGGGCGCTCTATATTCTGAAATCAAAGTGAGGCTTCTGAGTGATTACTGTAAAACACTTTGAAATAACCACATGTCATTTTAGCACATTTGACTCAATGCAATTAACAGTATCTTAAAGTGCCTGTGAAATGGCTGCTATTTTCACGCCTAAAATTATCAATTGATACATAAATATTATTAATTTTTATGTTTCTATGCATGAATTATTTTTTTTAAGTGAAAAAATGTGTTTTAAACTCAGTCTACGGCAACTTTATTTTTGTGTATTTTAAAACGAGGCTCCTCATTAGCTTCTCATTTGCATACAGAAATTCCCTTTGTGACGTCAGAAGGGGAAGTCGCATGGCAGCTTGCATTGCTGATACGTGTAAATAAGGCAAATTTCTTGTGCAGTTTTCTCGTCTTTGATGACAAAGTCACTCATGTACTTGTTCGTCGAGGATGAATGGACCATAATGAACACATAGTATCAATTTTTGTTGCATGGGGTTGAGTTAGATGCGAAATATGTCCGTTCTGGTGTAGCTGGTCACCGTGATCGTCACCGACACCGGCGCATGTTTGTACACTGTTGCTGGACAAAATAGAATTTGACGTCGGAATTATCTCGTTATTTAGCAGGTTACTAGGCACGTCACTACACTGTTTTATTTCATTGATCGTCTGAGTAAAACTTTCAAAATTAAAATAAAAGAGAACATATTTTGACATTCTAAACATTAGACTATAGTGATCACTATAAAATAATTTAAATCAAAGAAAGCTTAGAAAGAACTCCCATGTGTTGAGAGTATTGGAGACACATTAAATATAATTCGAAATTACTTAGCTGAAAACTAATTATGCAAATCAGAAAATTAATATGAACAGATTTGAGTGTAAAA